ACCGGAAGTGGTGCTGTAGCTCAAGTGGTAGAGCACTGGCCTTGAGCTGAAGAGCTGAGGGACAGCGCCCAGGCCCAGAGTTCAAGCCCCACGACCGACCAAAAAAAAAAAAAAAAGTAGTTACTAAGTTTGGAATTGCCATTTCTCTTTAAAAATGTACAGAGGGGCCATAGTTACCTAAGTCATATAGAGTATATTTCTTTTTGGACACCCCTTCCCTTACTCTCCCAGTTTTTTCCTCCTATCCCCACCCATGAGTAAGTACTGCTACTGCATTTTTGTTCACCCTTTATCTCCACGTCTTTTTTTTTTTTTGGTCAGTTGTGGGGCTTGAATTCAGGGCCTGGGTGCTGTCCCTCAGCTCTTCAGCTCAAGGCTAGCACTCTACCACTTGAGCCACACAGTGCCACTTCTGGTTTTCTGGTGGCTAAGTGGAGATAAGAGTCTCATGAACTTTCTTGCCTGGGTTGGCTTTGAACCATGATCCTCAGATCTTAGCCTCCTGAGTAGCTAAGATTACAGTTGTGAGCTGTCAGCGCCCAGCCTTTTATCTCCATTTCTGTACCCCCTCCCCCCTTTCCTTCCCAAAGTCAGATAAATGAACAAACAAGATGGAAATGAAAACAAAAACAAAAACAGCAACAAAGGAAAAAAGCCTCTTGTTTCCATTTCTGGGGCTACTTCTTTTTCTTTTTCTTTTCTTTTTTTTTTTTTGGGTCTGGTCGTGGGGCCTGAACTCTGGGCCTGGGTGCTGTCCCTCAGCTCTTCAGCTCAAGGCTAGCACTCTACCACTTGAGCCACAGCGCCACTTCCAGCTTTTTTCTTTTTCTGCTTATGTGATGCTGAGGAATTGAACCCAGGGCCTCTTAGATGCAAGGCAAGCACACTACACTGGGCCACCTTCCTAGTCCTCTTTTTTTTTTTTTTTTGTCAGTTGTGGGGTTTGAACTCAGGGCCTGGATGCTGTCCTTGAGCTCTTTTGTTCAGAACTGGCGCTCTACCACTTTAAGCCATAGCTCCACTTCCATTTTCGAGTAGTTAATTTGAGATAAGAGGCGCACAGGGACATTTCCAGGCCGGCTTTGACCTGCAACCCTCAGATCTCAGCCTCCTGAGTAGCTAGGATTATAGGCATGAGCCACTGGTACCCAGTATAGCTGAAGTTCTTTGAGCCTTTTTTTTTTTTCTTTTACTATAGTGTGACACACAGATCATTTCTAATAGCAGATTTGTAGTCATTTTTCCCCCCCACACCAAGCAAACCATCAGTGTTGCAGTGTTCATCAGCTGTTCATCACCCAGTGTCTCACTGGGTGAGGGCTCAGTCCCCAAGACTGTCTCCAATGCCAACTTCAGATGCCATTTGCATGTCTCAGACACTTTCTCAGGTTTAATTAATTTGCTCGGACAGTTTATAGAAATCAGGAAATTGGGGAAACATATTTACCCATTTATGATAAAGGATACTCTAAAGGATGCAGTTGAAGAGATGTATAAGGAATGTTTTGGGGAAGGGTTGTGTTATTTCTTTTTTTCTTTTTTGGGTCCGGTCGTGGGGCCTGAACTCTGGGCCTGGGCGCTGTCCCTCAGCTCTTCAGCTCAAGGCTAGCACACTACCACTTGAGCCATAGCACCACTTCTGGCTTTTTTTTTTTCTGCTTATGTGGTGCTGAGGAATCGAACCCAGGGCCTCATGCATGCAAGGCAAGCACTCTACCACTGGGTTGTGGTATTTCCATGCCCTTCAGAAACATCCATATGTTCTCTTTGGACCCTCTCCCAACTCTTGTCTTTTTGAGTTTTTAATTGACATAACCATTGCATAGAAACAAATGAAGTATTGACAACAATGGAAAAAGGTGATTGGACAAAAAGAGTATGCCAATAAAGTGGGAAAACTCAGCAAGTTTTTCCTGGATTCTTGGAGTCTGTGTGCAGTGTTCCTTCCTTATATATGGGGTGGGATCCTTCTGAAATGAGTTCTTGATATATTATCTGACAAAAAAGATAATCAGAAGATTTCTTTATGACCAGTTACAAGACAGAAAAATAGGGGATTCAAGTTTCTGATGGTCACCTACAATAAACTGTAGTTTCTAGGAAGTGGCGCTGTAGCTCAAGTGGTAGAGCGCTCGCCTTGAGCTGAAGAGCTGAGGGACAGTGCCCAGGCCCAGAGTTCAAGCCCCACGACCAACCAAAAAAAAAAACAAAAAACTGTAGTTTCTATTAGCTGCCTTGAGGAGGGAGTTATGAGCTAGGAACCTTGGACAAAAATTCAGAATACGTGTATCATAGTATTACACTTGTTTATTGGTTGTTTGCATTTTAAGATATTCTTTACCTTACTTTCTTTTAAAATTTAAATATTTTAATTGCATTTTAAATACTCCTAACTATTGAAGCTATTAGCCCTTTGCATAATTTTGTCAAATATATATCTATATTTATGTTTTCATATGTCTTTTGATTTCATTTTTTGACAAAATTTTGTCTATAGTGAAATTAAAATTTAGATTATTGTTGTATATAGTATTTTGACTCTCGACCTTTTTATATATTGTGAGCATTTTCCCATGGTGGCTCATGCTTGTAATCCTAGTTACTCAAGAGGCTGAGATCTGATGAAGATGGTTCAGAGTAAGTCCTGGCAGGAAACTCTGTGAGACTATAATCTCCAATAAACTGCTCAGAAAAGGCTGGAAGTGGTACTGTGGTTCAAGTGGTAGAGCACCAGCCTTGAGCAAAAAAGCTCAGAGACAGCATTCAGGCCCTGAGTTTAAGCCACAGGACTGGCACATAGACACACACACAGACACACACAGACACAGACACAGACAGACACACACACACACATACACACACACACACACACACACACACACGACTTTGAAGCCAGGTGCTGATGGCTCAAACATGTAATCCTAGCTACTCATGAGGTTCAGATCTAAGGATTGAGATTTAAAGCCAGGTTTGGTAGGGATGTCCATGAGACTCTTATTTCCAGTTAACCACCGAAAAGCCAGAAGTAGAGCTTTGCCTCAAGCAATAGAGCACCAGCCTTGAAAGAAAAAGCTGAGAACAGCACCCAAGCCCTGAGTTTAAGCTCCAGCTTGAGTATGTGTGTGCACACATGGGTGCACACCAACACAAAATAATATGCATTAGAAATGATTCTTTAAGTTGTTTCTTGATAATGCGTTTAAAAAGTAAGATGGTATTAACGCAATTCTTTTTAATTTAAGGTTCTCCTCTTGTGGTGTCTTTAATTGGTGCACTTTTACGTGATTTTCCCAATCGCTGGGATTACTACCTCAGGCAACTTCAGAATAAGCAGTTTAAGAGAATAAGGAAATCTTCATCATATGATTATGAGGCTCTGGATGAAGCCATGTCTATAAGTGTTGAAATGCTCAGAGAAGACATCAAAGACTACTACACGGATCTTTCCATCTTTCAGAAGGATGTTAAGGTGCCTACAAAGGTAACAAGTGGACCAACTGTTCTTGACATTGAGTACTTAAGACACATGACCTTTGATATAGTACTGAGGACATTGTTTCAAGTTATAATGCATGGGTAAGACCAATAGGACTGAGTGAAGGAAGAAGGTCCAGAAGTCCCTCTACTCTTTATTCTCCATGAAAGGCTGAAGAAGGTCCAGAAGTCCCTCTACTCTTATTCTCCGTGAAAGGCTCGCTTGGAGCTCATGAGTTACCTAATTCTCATCTGTTTTAGGGAAGCTAGAAAAGTATCCAATTTCTCTTTCTTTTTTCAGCCTTTAGGGATAGTTAAGCATTTTATGAAATGTTGATGTTCTCATGTAGGGTTTTAACATAATGGCTTTTATTTTTTTATTTATTTTTGCTGTGTTCATATTAATATTTTATACATAGTCCTATTCATTGTACTTCTGTGATATTAAATGCCAAAAATGTTTCCTAGGTATTATGCATTCTGTGGGACATGGAAACTGAAGAGGTTGAAGACATACTGCAAGAGTTTGTTAATAAATCTCTCTTATTCTGTGATCGGAATGGGAAGTCATTTCGTTATTATTTACATGATCTTCAAGTAGATTTTCTTACAGAAAAGAATCGCAGTCAGCTTCAGGTACTAGCATGTCTGTACTTTTTTTGCTAGTCTTGGGGCTTGAACTCAGGGCTTAGACACTGTCCCTAAGCTTCTTTTGCTCAAGGCAAGCACACTACAGCTTGAACCATAGCACTGAGGAATTGAACCCGGAGCTTCATACATGCTAGGCAAGCACTCTACCGCTAAGTATATTCCCAGTCCTGTCTGTACTTTTTTAACTTCTTATTTAGAAAAAAAAAATTTAGACTTGTAGAAAAGTTACAAAATAGTACAGAGAATTTCTTTCTTTTTTTTTTTTTTTCTTTTTTGGATCCGGTCGTGGGCCTGAACTCTGGACCTGGGCGCTGTCCCTCAGCTCTTCAGCTCAAGGCTAGCACTCTACCACTTGAGCCACAGCGCCACTTCCGGCTTTTTTC